TCTTTCCTGTTACAGACTAACTCAGCTATCCCACTGAAACTTATCTACTCTGTCTCTTTTTTCTTCTACCCTCCATTTTTTCCCCCTTCTCTCCCACTCCTCACCCCCTCCCTTCCTTTATTTATTCTTGGATCTGGACTTCCAACACTCCAGTCACCTGAAGAAGTGGGTTGTGCCCATGAAAGCTCATTATATCATCTACATGTTTTGTTAGTCTTTAAGTTTCTACTGGGCTATTAGTTGTTTTTTAAGTTTTTCCTGTTACAGACTAACTCAGCTACCTCTCTGAAGCTTTTAAACTCACAAGGTAAGTTTTCAGGGTAAAACCATTTCTGGTCATGCATACTGCTTCCTCTCTGTAGGCATCTGGATATCTATTTCTGGCCTAAAGCTGAGAAACTAAAGGAATACAGACACTCAGCTGCCTAATTCCTGTAAGGGCCCCATCTGGTAGGTGTGCACAGAGGTCACCTACAACAGCAGGTTCCATTCAACCTCTGACTGGTGGAAGAGGGAAACAGCAAGGTGCGTGCATGAGAGAGAGAGAGAGAGATACACAGTGGATAAATATTTAAATAGCCACTGGGCCAGACACAGAGAATGACTATGTTGTCCACCAGCAATTAGGGTGTCCATCTGGGTCGTAGGAGACCCAAGGTCCAATACCCCTTCTCCAATCACTTGTTTATTTACAGTGAAAAGTTTTAACAGAGACTGAGGCTGAGCCCACATCAGGCTATCCCCTAGGCTCAGGGGTGAGAGAACTGTCCTGAGAGACAGAACTGAACCTAGAGGTTTCCCTCATCCTAGAGGACTCCTCTAAAGACTAGGCTGAGAGTTACAAGGAGGGAACCACCGCCAGCACCCTGTGTGTGTGTGTGGGGAGAAAAACATGCACCTAACTTGTTCCTACAAGAAACACCTTGGCTACATCTAGTCTGGCATGATTTTCCGCAAATGCTTTTAATGGAAAAGTTTTTCCATTAAAAGCATTTGCAGAAAAGAGCGTCTAGATTGGCATGGACGCTTTTCTGCAAAAGCACTTTTTGCGGAAAAGCATCCATGCCAATCTAGATGCGGTTTTGCGCAAGAAAGCCCCAAATGCCATTTTCGTGATCGGGGCTTTTTTGCGCAAAACAATACTGCGTTGTCTACACTGGCCCTCTTGCGCAAAAGCATTTGCGCAAGAGGGCTTTTGCCCAAACGGGAGCAGCATAGTATTTCCGCAAGAACACTGACAATCTTACATGAGATCGTCAGTGTTCTTGTGGAAATTCAAGCGGCCAGTGTGGACAGCTGGCAAGTTTTGGAAAAACTTGCCAGTCTAGACGCAGCCCTTGGGTGCCTAAGGTACCTCTAGGAGACAGGTTGTTTGCACATCACTAAGCAGACATAGGTACCAATGTCAAAACTACAGGGAGATGCTTAACTCGATGAGAGGGGGAAGAGTTTAGCACACCCCTTCTGGTTGGTATTTCCCATCAGCTAGTTTAAGTGGCTCCTCGCCTGCTTGCTTTTGTGGCTTATGGCCAGAGATACTTCTCCTTCCCCATTCACTGCATAGTGAGTGTAGGCACTCTACTCAGCTTTGTGGATTTTCTCACTGTTCCTGTGATTTTTTTAGGTGCTTAAAAGTTAACCATCATCATAATCAGCATTGCAATGCCCAAGTCTTTTTGTGAATCCCACCCCAGCTCCTACCAAGCTCCCTGATCTGGAGTCCTGTGCAGGCCACAGCTGACTCTGGACAGTCAGCAACAGGCAAATCTGTCACACTGGCTGTAGGTCACCCCAGGCCTGATCTGTTCAACTTTCTCATAGCAGTTTGAAGATTCTCTTTGTGGGGAGATGGAGATCACTAAAACTAAAAGTTTACATTGGTTCGAGTTAAGCTGTCCCCTCCCACTTCTGGGGCAGAACAGCCCAGATTCACATTTAGCCCACTGCCTAGGAAATGGTTTGTCCATTACCCCCCATGTAGAAGCCTCCCTCTTGGCCATCTCTCCATTCCATCCCCACCCGACTCCAAACATGCTGGGAAATGGAGTCAGAGAGTAATACTCCCTAGAGTAGGGGGAGTCAATAGACGGACCATGAGCCAAATCCGGATTGCCATATACTTTTGAACAGACCCACCCAATCTTTATTTTTTATTATTTTCTTTGGAAGTAAACTATACCCTGACCAAGAAATCTGGACCCGGACAAAAAAATAATAATTTGCCCTTGCCTTAGAGGCTCAGTTTGGCACTCCAAAAGCAGGCAAGTTGTTGGGGGGGGAGGGGGGAGAGGAAAAACAGAAGGACAGTTACAGTCTGTTACACAGATTAGTGTCTCACTAATGTGCATGCAAACTAGTTAGCCAAGGGAGCATAATCCAAACACAAAGAGGTTGCACATGTGGCAGTGAACGTCATACCGAGTCTGCACACCTATTAATGGTGGTTCTTCACAGAATGAAGAGGACCCAGTTTTCCCCACAGCCCAGTGTAAGTTTGTAGTCCTCCTGGTAGTTAAAAGGATTTTTTCTTACTTGCCAGCAGAATAAGTTGACTATGGAGCTGAGTCAAACAGAAACAATGCTGAACTCTATGAAGTTAACTTTTGTTTACAGAGTCACTTCTCAAAGTGCAACTGATTTTTACTGTTGGGAATTTATGTGTAGATATCAAGTGAGACAATCTCCCCATGCATTTAATTAGTCTGGGGCACAGGGGAATGGGTTCTGTAATTGAACTTCAATGGCAAGTCACATATAGCATATCCTTGGTGATCAGTTTATAAATACAATCTCATGGTGTGAAATTTGGTAGGCACAACCTCTTCCTGGAAGTATCAATAACTGCCAAAAACAGAGGGGGGGGGGGGGGGGACAGAGGGGAAATCACACAACACTTTTCAAAAATTGCAAACTGAAACAAAGGCTAAATGAGTTATCCTCAGTGAAAAATTCCACACAAATTTTGTTCTATCAACAAAAGTTGGCATCCGTGATGACAGCAACTGCTATGCCTAGAATAAAAGTAGTTCTTCATTTCTAACAAATTGTCTCTAGAACAGTGATAATACTCTAAGCTAAATGTCAAAGTGGCACAATTAAAGTGTAGCCATTTTGGGAAGAATGGGGATGGGACAGGTAGAACACTTTCATCACATTTTAAGCACCAGAGAATTTGAAGAGAACAAGATGAGCTTTTGATGACACACAAAGAAGGGTCATTTTTCATCTAAAGTTAGATCAAGAAAGGGGAAAGGAGGAAGGTGTAGATTTTAACACCAGCATTTTCATAACTCAAAGCACTCAAGTTAAAATTATTTTGATTCTTTCCCCCACTTTTTGAAGAATTGTATTGTCATTAATCAGGACACTTGCTACAAGTTTAGAACTAATAGTCTCATTCTATCACCTACTGAATGTTACCCAAAATAGACTTAACATTTGCTTTTCTTCCTAAGTCACTCTGCCCTCTACTGCTATTACACATGGATTACTGGAATCAAAATTCTTCCAAAATTTTAATGGTTTCCAACATGCTAAGGGAGAATGTGTTGAGAAAGCCATAATATTACAGCCTTCTACCAAATCTCTGAATTCTTGGGCAATTCAAGAGTTCTCTTCTTCGCCTCCAATATCCCCCACTCTACCAACAAATACTTAGAGCCAGTGGGGATGCAAACCATCCTTTTTTCTCTGCATTAGGAAAAGCTGAAAACTGGAAGGGAAAGGATTACTTTTACATGTGTGGTGGGAATATTTATAAATATTTGTATTTTAGCATACAAAAAGGGAATACATCCTTAAGTCATACAGAAGAATCTCTCACTTCCTGGCTGCAGATTTGTGCTCACATACTCTAAGAACATAAAAACAGCCATACTGGGTCAGACCAACGGACCATCCAGCCCAGTATCCTGTCTGCCAACAGTGGCCAATACCAGATGCCCCAGAGGGAGGGAACAGAATAAGTTATGCTCCCGTGATCCCTCCCCTGTCACCCACCTCCAGAGAAACAAAGGCTAGGGATACAATTCCTACTTATCCTGGCTAATAGCCACTGATGGACCTAACCTCCATGAATCTATCTAGCTCTTTTTTGAACCCTGTTAAAAGTCCTAGCCTTCACCACATCCTCTGTGGCAAGGAGTTCCACAGGTTGAATGTGTGCTGAGTGAAGAAAAACGTCCTTTTGTTTGTTTTAAACCTTCTGCCTATTAATTTCATTTGGTGACCCCTAGGAAAATCGAACAGGGTTTGTGCAGACTTTCTAAACAGAACAGAAAACAAATACAGAAAAGATATAGGCCCCTTACCAAATCTGAAGGGTAAGAATAGTACTCTGAAATTAGTTTTTTTTTTTTTTTTTAATCAATATTCCATCTCACTAAAAGCTCTAGGGTGCATCTACACTTGCCCCCTAGTTCGAACCGGGGATGCAAATATAGCCGACCGAAATTGCTAATAAAGCGGGGATTTAAATAGCCCGCACTTCACTAGCGCTCCCGTGCGCTATTCCGCTTGCCAGCTGATTCAAACCAGGAAGTACGCTCCGGGCCGTGTTAGTTCGAATCAACCCCTTGGTTCGAACTAATGTTACTCCTCGAACTAATGAGGAGTAACATTAGTTCAAACCAAGGGGTTTGATTCAAACTAATGTGGCCCAGAGTGCACTTCCTGGTTCGAATCAGCTGGCGATCGGAATAGCACGTGGGCGAGATTATGCTTGTCCAAGGATGTGTACACACTCTTTATGACTGCTTGGTTTCTACCTTTACTGGACCAGTGAATATTGAATTCTTACCTTAGAATTTATGGCTTTAAGAGTTTGGATATCTAACAGGAGAGCAGCTATATAAAACCAAGTCTGATTTTAGTAATTTCTTACCAGTAAGTTACATTTGTTTCATGTACTGAAGTGAAATATTCCACTGAAATTATTCAAACTTTCATCCAAAGCACTATGACTCTTCAATACTTCATTCAGAAGGACATTTAACATGTAGTTTCAGACTAGTGAGAATAAAAATGTACTTTATTAAATAACTCAAGAAAAGAGAAAAGAAATTGTGCAGTTATGAAAGACATTTGTGGTTCTATATGATTTTTACAGCAAAGAATGAATGACTCATGTAAGAAATCAAAGAAGTTAGCATGTAAGTTTAGCAGCCAAACTGTTGTCCTCTTCCCATGGAATTAATTTCGATCCTCAAACTGAGACTTGTTTTTTAAAAGATATGCTGCTAGGAATTCAATAGGATTTGGTGGTCTGTAAAGATAAAAATAATCAAGAGTATATACTATTCGTCACATAACAGAAGAGCTCTTCTGCTTCACTGAAAACAGAGACTTACTTGAAAAAGCACTAGACAAATTAAAAATGTTCAGCTTTGTAGCATAACACCACACACAAAGAGCCATGCTTTAGCAGCAACTAAAAAAGTACTTAACCAAGGAAGGTCCTCCATTCATTAAACCCCCTGCTTCAACACTTCCCGGTCCTCGATAACTACTGCACAACCTTTATTGTTAGGCTACATGTGCGATATGATCTAGGAGTGGGATTCTTCTGCTCACGTGCACACTCATATTAGTTCACACCAGGCTAATGAGTATGTATAGCAGTGTAGCCACAGTACCAGCAGCCGAGGCATGGTAAGCTGTGCCAAGTTAATGCACACCAGTCTCAGGAGGTGTACTTAGCACAGTCCAGATGTGCCTTTACTGCTGCCACCATGTTACCTTAGCTACACACTGCTATTTATACTTGCACTAGCTTGGTGACAGCAAGTATGTGTACATGTAGAGGAGAGTCACACACCTGGCTCTCAGCATATTTACAGCCTCAGATGAAAACATTCTTCATAACTATAATTAAAAGGCATGCATGTAGATTCTATACCAATCAACATTTCTCATTTTATTTTCTTAGTTGCTTACGGTTCTAAGTTAATCAATAAGCCACGCAGCTGATGCCTAAAATATGTTCATAATCATATTAAGTAGTTACTAAGGGAAGGTTCTAGAAGGGAGGGAGACTGCACAGGAGCAGGGAAGGAAGAGTAGCTCTAAGAGGAAGGGGAGATAAAAAAACGTGATACTGACTAATGAAATTGAAGTCAATTTAGAAAGGCTGGCCTCTTTCCCCCTCCAATCCACAACTACCTTAAAGAGTTAAGTGAATTATCCAAGTTTACACAGATAGCCAGCTCCCTTGTCTGATATGTTCTTGTCTGCCTCAAATATATCTTTGTTGCTTCTGCCAAATACTTTTTCTAACCAACACTTTAATGATAACTTGAAATTGATGGAAGAAAATTTCTAAAATGCAAACTGCTTTACAATTAAGCCTTGCCACAGTTTTGCTACCTAAGTAGGTTTTTCTTCAACCATAGAAAAAAAATGTAGTGCATAAAATTTGGTAAATTTGTCTCACTCCACATATCAGGTTATCACACTCAATCCAGAGAAGTGTCCAGAAATTTTAACTGTAATCTGCGACACACCAATTTAGAACTACATAGTACCCTCACCCAAATCAGAGCTCCCAAAGAAGTTAACAGAAGACCTGTACACAGCTTACAAGAAGAATAATGTCTCTATTAGAGATGTAATAGTATAGCTGATTAACTGATAAACAAAAGCTTATCGGCTTAATGCTATAGTCTACACGCATTTCCCTCCGCCTTCCCCAGCCCTTCCCAGTAAATTTTTTAGCAGGCTGGCTAGCAGCCTGGCTCAGTGCCAACTTGCACTGGGTCTGGAACCTACCCGTGCTGCAGCTCTGCATTTAAAATGTATTAGCAGCCAATTGTGCAGGCTGCCAGTCCAAGAGGGAAGCTGATTTTTAAACTGGCTCACCTCACAGATTAGCTCCCATTTGGCATCCTAAACTGTTGCCTCTGATAGAAAGACAGCAGCATGGAGTGGCAGAAGGCTCCCCAGGAGTGGGGCCAGAGCACACTGGCTGCTGGCCCCACCCTGGGGACTACAGAAGAGGCGACTGACTGATAAGAATTCATGAGGTTAATTGACTATTCAATTAACCGATATTTAATGTCCCGAGTCTCTATATATCAAGTAAATATTTAGTTACTGATGTGGAGAGGCTCTAGTTTAAGCTCAAATGTTCTTTGGGGTTAAAGATACTGCTGAGACAGACATGAAGACTCTCATGATTTTAAGGTGGTCCATTGTAGTCCACAGTTTAATAAGATTGACCAAAGGTTGTTCCTTTGCAACAAAGTGTGTGGAGTACGACACTCAAGTGGTTCTAGTTATATCTAGATGACAGGAGTCAACTGGAGAGGAAGGACAATTAGTTGTTACCACTGAGGAACATCCTTCCCATATTGTTCAATGTACATATGAAACCTCTTGGCAAAAGAATATTTAAACAAAGGGAATAGTATCATCAATATGTTGCTATAGCACAATCTTTCAAGAATTTGGCCTCAGTCCTGAGGAAGTATTTCTATGGTATTGCCAGCTGGATGTACTGGAACTACCTTGTTCAATGAAGTAAGAGACAGCAAGTATGTACTTACTGAGGGAACAGGGCTTATTCAAGAACCCTGACCCAGGCTAAGAACATTGGTGAAATGTCTATCCATGCGCTTGCCACGAGGAGCCATATGACAGATGTACTTAAAGAACAGATTTATTGAGGCTTCATCTTTCCTTTGCACTAACACTAATGTCCTTGTAACAGTAAGATTACTGACATCCTCTTATACAGCTCATATCACATACAGCTAATTACAGAATACATCTTGGCTACTCACGAGAGTAGACATGTGAATATATCCACCCCAAGTTCTGTACGTGAGCTTTTGATGAAGATGCAAACTGGTTTTACAACCCCATAACTGGGAAGGCCTTGCCTACATTTGAGGCCTCCTTTATTTAGAGACAAATATTACATTAAATTCTTTACCTCTCCTTTGCAAGTACAGCAAGTCCCTGTAGTAAAATAGGCACAACTGTCTGATCCAAGTAGGCACGTGTAGGTAACGACTGAAGATCCACTTTCTGCTTTGATGTTTTCTCTGCGTTACTCTTCTCATTTTCTACTATCCTCTTATAAATTCAAGGCATCATGGGAATAAAAGTATTGCTATTAGTACATAAAGTCTACTTAAAAGCAAAACTCAGCATAAGCAAGGTTATTAAAAGATGAGATTAAATTTGAGTATAATTTCACTCTGTTTTTTCCTTGATTGAGAATCTCAATTTAGGTTTTCTAAGTTAGATATAGAAATGCTTATGTTAAATTCTAACAGCATGTTGCCATGTAAATTACATTAAATATCTTGAAACTGGAGGCAGCCCCTACACTACCAGTCGGAGTATCTCATGAAAAGCATGTTGGGCTAGACAAATACCGCAAAGTCTTCCCACTGAGTAAGGGTATGACTACACAGTGGCGCTATTTCAGGACAACGTCTGTTATCCCAAAATAGTGTTCTGTGTGTCTTAAAAGTAAGCCCGTTATTTCGAAATACATTCAAAATAACAGGCTTGTTTTTCCCACGTCCCGTAAACATCATTGCAGGAGGATTAAGGGACTTATTAGAATAGCATTCTATTTTGAGATTAGCTATGCAGTTTGCCTAGCTCAAATTGCGTAGCTTATTTCGAGCTACACGCTACTGTGTAGATATACCCTAAAAAAAATCTTCAGAGTGACAAATTATTTTCTTGTCTAAGTATAAATTTCATTTTATAATTCTCTTTTACCTGTACTTTTGCATTTCCAAATCCTTTCACTTTGAATTTTCATTTCAAGGTCTATTAAAACAACCTTCAATTCTGTTTTATTAATATCATCATTGGGGGATATTTTTTCTTGGTAATGACTCACATAGGAGGCTTCAGATAACCCTAAGAAGTGGCAAAACAGGTTCTTCTGACAACACACCAATGGAAGAGGCAGCAGGAGGTTAAGTTATTAAAAAAACGAAACACAAACCAGCACACAAAGGGATCATTATTTCTGCTGGACTAGAAACAGAATGGTAGCAGCTCAACTGGCAATGCTAACACACTGTTAAATAGTCAACCGTGCATGATACCAGAACTTACTGAGTCAGGCTAAGCACCCTTCACCTTCCACTTTGTTTAAAAGCAGTCAGTTTGTTGAATTTTGCGCTTGATTGTACAATCACTGTAGCTAAATTAAATACATTTTGCCCAAATAAGAAATACTTCTTCTGCATTTGAAATTAAATCTTACTTACCTCTACATTTTCTGTGAGGCCATACTCAGCATGAGGATTTTCTGGTACCTGTAAAACAACATGCCACTCAGCAAAATCAAAATGCACATTATGTATTTCTTAATAGAAAAATCAGTGTAAAAGTTTCTCGCTATACCTGTGCCTGCCCCTCCATGATCTGTTCTGTATCCATGATTTGAAACTGGAAAGTGACCAAATATGCAACAACCTTGGGAATTAACAAAAACATACTGGTTAGAATACCGATGTCAATAAAAAATAAGGTAGCTGGCACTTAAAATATGGTTGATCATTTTAGTGACCATCATGCAAAGATGTAGGCTTGAGTCCTTTCCCTCCCTCTCAGCTCTGTCAATCTTTTTTTTTATATATAAATCTGAAGTTTTTCAAAATAACGTGAAATAAATGCAGGCAAAGTAACTTAAAACAGAACTTTCAGACAAGATTGGTTCACCCATAATTATCTTGAAAACAATTAGCAAATGTGTAAACACGGCACTAGTTCTCAAACTTGTTTGGTCAACCCTCTCCCACATCCATTCATTCTTTATTCTGTAGTCATTTATGCCATCTCCCGCCAAGCACATGCACCACCACCTAGCACTGAAGGTGAAGTGGAGAGCAGCACATGCTGGCCAAGTGCTCTGAAGGCAGCACTGTGGCAGCAACAATACAGAAGTAAGGGTGGCAACATGAGATGACTTTCCACAACAGACTTAGCAGCCCATCGCTACCTTTACTTCTGTGCTGCTACTGCTGCCACTCTAGGACTGACAATGGTTATCCCAGATGAGGGATAGCATGGACAGCTAGGTGGTGGGGCTCCAGCTGTCCCTGCTAGGTGGTGGGGCTCCAGCTGTCCCTCTCATCCCTGTCTCGCAGGTGCAACCAGCCCTTATGCACAAGTCCTAGCCCCATGGGGTTAATAGTTAGAGCCCTTAAAAACAAACAGCCAAAAAAAATCCATACAGCTCTCGCCTCCTTAGACACATTCCCTCACCTTCCTGGGGAGGCCCAATTAAGCCAATCAAGTGAGTGGGGGAAAGTGTTTTAATTATTAACACCAGTAGCTAATGAATATTCCAGAGAAGGGATGTCTAAATGTAATAAAAATACATCGATCTCCTAGAGGGCCCTAGAGTGCTAGAGTACAGGAGTGGTACATGTCGTTATTAATCGTTGTTAAAAGAGGGGAAGGGCAAGGACCATCGCTTGGACAAGCGAGCGCTCCCCACCCACCCCGCTCCCCGTCACAGACCCTCACTCCCACCCTGAGGCAGGGGCTGAATCCTCCTCCGCTACCAACAGCCCTAAAAAAAAATTTGCAGACCAGAAAAAAATCGCTCCCGTCTCACCAAGGGACCCGCGGCGAAAGGCTGCAATCCACCGACTGCAGGTGCTGACAACCCCACGCTACCGCTCGGCTTCCCCCAGCTGCGGCA